TTTTGTGCCTCTAGAATGACTGTGTGCTAATGTTAGTCCTGCTGTATTCTTTTGTTGTTGTTTTTCAATTTAAACTTCTTTCCTTATGTAGTGCTCCTCCCATTCTACTTAATCCCAGAGTCTGGAGAATATACATCCAATTTAGAGTTTTCCCTGTCTTTTTGAGGGCCTGTGTTAGCTGAGGAAAGAGATTCAGATGTCCTTTAAGTAAGAGTTTATTACTGAACTCATTCCTTATGGATGTTGTGCTCTTGCAATATATAGATCTTTAATTTTAGAAGTGTTTCCAATTGATGTAGAGCTCTAGCTTTTTAATACCATAGATCGTCAAAATATTTTCCTGTTATGAAAAACAGCTTTTCAAGAAAAGTGATTTTTTTTAATGGAAAACTTGTTTTGACCATATATTTTTGTTTTATGAACAAAATGATAAATAACCATTTAAAAATATTTTAGGTTTGGTAGTGAATATCCCATTTTCCTTTCACTTTTTTATTCTTCTCCTTTTAATTCCACTGGAAAGGAGAATAAGGCTAAAATGAGAAAAAGTATTTATGTTACCAACATCAACAATAAGTCAATTTTTTTTGTACCTTGCTATTTTAAAATGTTGTTGAATAATGAAAAAAATCATAAACATTTTCCAAAGAAATGAGTGAAGTATATGAACTCCCCCCCAAAACAAAAAAAACCTGGCTCTATTAATCCTTATGAAGTCACAGAGGTTCTTTACAAAAAAAAAAGGTAGTGTGCATATTTTGTGGGAGGTGGGGCATTTTTCTCCTTAGGTTTTTGTCAGTATTAGAACTGATTTCACCTCTCCTGTTTATATGGTTCCTTTACTTTAAAGAACACCAGCATCTTATTTTTTTTAACACTGATCTTTTTAATATATAAGCTGAGCCATACTTACAGTGATATGATTACTACCTCCAGATCAGTACAGTCTACTCATGCAAACTCCAGGCCCAAAAGTGTGCCTTTTCTGATTTCTGTCTAGTAGATAAGGTTTATAGACAAAAATTGTTAATACTGGAACTTAATTGTAAATCTATAGTTGTTACTTATTTTAGTGACATGTTAAAGTAGTGTTTAAAGTGATATTGTAGCTGTGATGGTCCCAGAATTGTGAGAGGCAAGGATTTCTTTGGGTAATATCTTTTATTGGACCAACTGCATGCTTGGGATAGAGTTAGACAAACTTTGGAATACAAGACTTTTCTTCAGGTCTGACTTTGGATGGTATTTGAATTAATTCTTGACAGTAAAGACTTTTTATACTTTTAACTTGGGAGGAGCCAACTGTTTGGTAATGACTCCAAGTTAGGAGGACTGTTGGATGAGCTTTGAGGTTACGGTGCATAAAGCAGTCACTCTCAACCAGAGTGCTGGTGCTTCCAGATGGATACCCGTTTTTCAGAGGTGCTGGAGTGGGCAGCTGTGACTGCGCAGGGGTGCATACTCTGTGTTGTAGCCACAGCTGAATTAAACAATGGGTGGATCGAGGATTTTGAAAAGTAGCGGGGTGGGTGTTCAGATGTGGTACTGTGTCATCACATATAACACAGTACTGTACATATTTTTTCTCCAGTTAAAGAGAAACTAGAAGCTATACTAATATGCTAGGGGGCTAGCACTGTATTATTCAGTTTAAGATCAAAGCAAAATCAAATATAACTATTGGAATGTGCACTGATTTGCTAGACTATATGTTAAGCTTAGAAAAAGCACGACTAACTAGGCAAAAGAAGTCAAAAGATAATATGTCATTAGTCTCATAGTTAATATAGGTAAATGCATGTCTCTTATTTGGATTCATAAAACAAAATCTAGCCTTCCTGAGCATCTTCACAAGGCCTCCAATACTGCACTGTTAGTCATTTCTGCACTGGAGTTTAATATTACCTTAGAGTTAAAGTTTTTAAATAGTCTGCAGGGCTGTGAAATCAAAGAGGGCTGTTATCAGGAAGGGCTAACTGACAGCAAAATTGCAGAAGAAGGGATAATTTGTATGGTGGAACATAAAGATCATTAAAAAAGGAGAGAGGGCTGGTAACACCTGTGGACTGGAGAGAGATTAACAGGAATTGGGGACAACGAGCCATGAAAGCCAATCACTATCAGGACTGGCTAAATAGAAATGCCACTCCTCCTCCTAGGGAGTGGGTTTTAAAGTTTGGGTGAAGCAGGAATCAAAGAGGGGAGGGGTACCACTGTATCCCCCTAGATCTACCCTTGAATTAGAGCCATGACAATTATCATCACTTTGTGGTGGTGCCCAAGTGTGGTGGCTTTCAGAGGTCATAGACTCATAGAGAAGCAGGGCTGGATGGGACCTCCAAAGGTCATTTAGTCCACCCCCAGCCTCAGGCAGGATCATCCCTATCTACACCATCCCATACAAACCTTAATCTAGATGCTATGTAAGACTACTGTCAACCCTGACACAACACAGACCTAACACCCTAACTTGCCACAGGTAAAGCAGGGGAGCTATGACAGCCAATGTCCTGCTTCTAAGAAATATACGCTCAAGAGATCCCAGGTAGAAAGCCATGCTCCCTGCTAGAGAGGAAGGCAAAAACCCCACAGCCTGTACCAGTCTGATCATAGGGTAAAATTCCTTCTTGACCCCAGGCATGGTGATCAGTCTGACCTGGAGTGGAGGGGCAAGATCCTCTAGTCTGGAAAGTCAGGCTTTGGTCTTAGCAGGGGCATTGGCATGGCTCAGTCCATGTCCCCAGCCTTGGCTGTAGCCAATACCCAGTGCCTCTGAGGAAGGCTTAAAAACACCCTGACACACACAAAAGAAAGTGGAGGAGGAGTGGAGGGGGCAACCAGCAAAGCCCCCAAAATGGGAAATACCCCTAGTAGAACACAGACATAGCTATGCCTAGATCATCCCTGCCCAGTGGCTGTCCAACCTCTTCCTCAACACTGCCAGTGATGGAGGGGCTGCAGCATCCCTAGGCAGACTCTTCCCCTGCCTCGCTGTTCCAACAGTGAAGTTTTTCCAGATATCCAATCTGAACTTACTTTTCTGCAACTTCAAGGCATTGGTCTGTGTCCTCCTCTACAGCAAGAGAGAAAACCTGCTTTCCCTCTTCTTTATGGCAGCCCTTCAGATATTTGCAGACTGCTGTCATGTCCCCTTTGAGGTGCCTTTTCTGCCAGCTGAACATGCCCACTTCCTTCTGCCTCTCCTCACATGCCTTGCCTTCCGAGCCCCTGATCATCTTTGTGGCCTGCCCCCGGACGCTCTCGGACATCTCCGCGTCCTTAAAATAAAGAGCCCAGAGGCGCTGCTCCACGCGAGGCCTAACCAGTGCGGAGCAGAGGCGCCCTCACCTCCCCCCACTTGTCCTCCCACTTCTAGCGATGCCCCCAAAGCCGCCTTCGCGCTGCAGCCCCGGAGCCTGTGCCGTCCCGGGTCCTTCCCCTCCGCGCTGCCCTCCACCCACGCCTCACCCGTGCTGCCCCCGGCCTGCAGCACCTTGCATGGGTGCCTTGAGACCCCTTCTGGGTGCGTGGCTGGTGATGGAGGGGCCGGGCCGGGCCCCGCGCGTGTCCGGGGAGCGCAGGTGGGCGCTGTGTTGTGCTCAGCGCGGTGCCGCGCGCCAGGGGCAAGGCCTGTGCCCCAGCCCCCGCCCCTGCCC